TCATCAGATACCTATTTAAAAAATTGTGGTTTGTTTTCTGGCTTATTAATACATGGCCTTTGCCCTGTCTTCCCCCAACTACCCCTCCTTTCTCACAAAGGAAAAAAAGTATGTCACAAACCAAAAATGATAAATCTATCATGATACTACATCTCTACTATTTTAATTTCTACAAATACTACCTGAAATACTTGGCCTTTTTTTGGTTTTGTCAGACATCATAAATTTAAACTTTGCTGGTTTCAATGAATAATTAAATTTTCAAAAAGTACAGGTAATTAAGACCTGCAAAAATTAAAATTGAGTAAGAAGTCAGCAATTATAGACTGCATGTATTTTACCAGATCTGCAAGGGACTCTAATTAAACACATATTAATTGCCCTAATCTTCTTAGGCAAGTAATAAATTGGAAGAGCTGATTAATGCACTGGATTTAATTCAGCTTGTTAAATCTGACACCCTGGCAAAGGAAGACTATCTTGAAAAGCTCTTTTAGCTAAGTAATTGGAATTTTACTCTCAGTAATTTGCCATTCCATAATAAGAGCTATTTAGTATATTGACTCTTCATCAGTTTTTTTTTTTTAAATACATGTTAGTTATATTTAAACAGTACCATTATGCTGCTCATAAAGATTATGAAAAATTATGAACTTTGACCTTTACTGTCCATCAAAAGTCACTTTCACACTGAACACAAATTAGTGTATTTCCTTGTAGGCTATAAATCCTAATTAATTTTAATTCTAGAAGCTGCTAATAACATTTTATAAAGTCCATACGGACACATTAAGTCCTCAATACAATTCATAAAGCCAGCAACTAAACCAGTTTTCAATATTAAATAACTGCTGATGACTGCTGGCATACACTGAAACACCAATGAGCCTCAATTTCTGCTCTCCTTATCTATTTACACAAACACTCCTACACATGCACTCACAGGTACTTTGTCTCCGGGCAAGGGAACGAAACATTTTTGTGATAGCAATGAAGAACTATCAGCCATTCCAAATAAATCCTACTCCTAGATTATAACATGGATAGATGCATCAAGCTTCACTTAAATAAGCAGACATAGATCAACAAACGTCTTCCCTGCTAAGGAAAAAGCTAGCAAGTGTAGAATGGGACAACAGACATTTTAATACTTGAAAAGATGATTTGAAGTATTCCATGAAACTTGAGCAGCTTCTAGTATGTCCCAGAAAACGTGGACGTGCATAAAGCCTTTCATATCAAGTATTTCAAAAAGTCATACATGTTCCAAATCAAGTTGTTTGAAAAGAAATCCTAAATATATAAGTACCTCCCTGCCTTCAAATTTTTATTCTGTACTCTTCAGAGATGACATTTCGTATTTCTGCTCTAGAGCCTATGAGCTCCAGTCTCTACATCTAAAATCTGTTACTCTTCTGTTAGCAAAAACTAGTCTTCACACATCCTGAAAATCACTGTCACGGCAAACCTAACGCCTATCCTTTGTTCCATAAGTGAAATGCAGCATCAACTAAGGAGTCAGATGAACATTCATTTTAAGCAGCAACATTATTTTCACAAATGAGCTATAAAGCTTGTTCTAAGCAAATACCAAAGAGCTGATCAGATAATACTAGGGGACTGGTAAGTCATGAAAAGAGACATGAAGATACCTCAAAGAACTGTGGTTCAACCTGGATGTGACTCAACTATTTCCTACCCATTTTCCATGACGCAGTACAGAGTACAATTTACTGCTTGCCATTGGATAAAGAGGTTACGCTCAGTTTTAACTCCCATCCTTAGCAGACTTACTAATGAAATAGTACTTTACCTTCGCAACAAGTTTAAATAAATGCTATATTCTTCCTCCACTGGTTGTGTGTTACTTGCAACAAAAGGGTTTTGGCCTGTGCCTGAGGCTCCCATGTACTATTACAAGAAATCTTAAGTAGCAAACCAACTCCAACTATTATCCAGCTGATGGCACTGACCATTTAAAGATCTGTTAGGATGGTTAGCTGTAGGCAGGTTACAACAAATTCCACACTTGAACTTGAGGTCTCTACTACAGAGACCTTCAAGGCTTATGAGATAAGCCCTCAAATTTCAGGATTTACATAACTGAAAGCAAAAGAGAACTGGGATTCTAGACAAACTCTCAAGTCCTTAAGCACAGTCTCAGCTCAGCTGCTGAACATCAACCTAAGCCTGAAATACAACTGAGATCGTGTCTTACCTCTGTGCACACAAGTTCCATTTCATTGCTTGAGAAGATGTAACACAGCTTTATATTAGGGGCAGAACAGTTTGCCACAATTCAGTACAGAACAGGGAAAACCACGGGATATCATTCAGTTAAGTGAGAAGTCAATGAAAGCGAACAGGGAGAGGTACACAATCTTTATGAAAGGGAAAGATTCAGACACCAGGATTTGCGTAACCTGTCAAGAGCAAAAAGCCAATGACTACAACTTCCAGTTCACAAGGTGCTGGGTTCAGTCTTGCTTGAAAGAACTGTGCAATACCTGGAAAATCAGAACACTGACAGAAGTTCTGATCTCTTCGTATGATTTGTCTGCATTTTTATAACATATAATACAGAAAAAAATCTCAACCCCAAATTGAATTGTAGACATAATCAAAATATTTCAGATTAGATAAAGCAATGAGCCAGATATGCAGATTCTGGAAAGTACACAAGAACCCACAGCACAAGGTCCTTAAACCAAAACATTTATTACTGCATTTATTAATGTTTAGTTTCAGTCCAAGGGGCTCAAACATTTTCTGGTAAACTGAAATTGCACCAAAAGCTAGAATCTGCACTTTGTAAAGCAAATCTAAAGGTAGAAACCTTGTTTTCTCCCCTACAGACTTTCTAACAAATAACCACAACCCCAAACCATTGTTTTCTTGTGACAAAAATAATTCTACATGTATCTTCTCAGCACTTTTCTACCATCTTTCTCTGTATTTCTGCAGGCAATACAAAACTTAGCTTCAGCATTTCCTGTCAACATTAAAGCCCAAATCCTGACAAGCACATGACAAAGTCTTGTGTTCGAAGATGCTATGTATTTAAATTTTCATGATATCACACTCTCCAAATGTTACAAGCATACAAATCAAATATATGTTCTTACTCCTGCCAAAGAGCCTTCTAGAAAAGCAGAACACCTACAAGATTTCCAGTTTTTACTGACTTATCTCTCCTTTTTTGCACATTTCTGAACTTCACTCTTTCAGTCCTTGAAACTGAAACATAGAAAAATGTCGTGAAAGAGATTTCCGTAAAATTCTTTAAACAAAAGTTTTCATTATGACCATTTCCCAAATAATACTTAAAAGCTGCAGAGACTGATAATGAACTACCATTTCCCTTCCAACAACTTGAGGATGTCTCTCTGCTCTAAACAGACATGTGACCTATACTGAAAATAAGTTCTTCTGAAATACATGCTTCTGTTACTACCTAAACATTTTAGTTCTTACTGTTACTATATAAGTAGCAGGCAAAGACTTCTGTATGCTTTTACCTTAATTACACTTGTCCTTAAAAAAGGTGAATACTGTAAGACTTAGTTCCTTTTTCCACCCATACATCCTATTAAAACACTTACAATTTTAAAAAGTTGTAACTATTACATTAATTAAAAAAAAAAAAAAGCTACTCTTCTGAATTCTAGTCATTTAATTCATCAGCCTAAGATGACATTAAGACATTTGTTTTAAATCCTTGCTTTGGGCAACTGGTGAATAACAAGATGATAGGCAGGCATAATGCTGAATTTCATGCCAATACATAATTTTGTTAGTTTCAGCAGAATTAATGACATACTTAAAGGTAAACAGCTTTAATCTTTCTTAGATCATGTACTGTATGCGACTTCTGAACAGACCAGAATTTCCCCTCCAGTTCTTAATGTTCACACCTTTAGACTGGAGAGAAAAAGATAAAACAAAAGATACACCACCAAAAACTGGAAGGGCTATGGGATGAAGGAACTAGCAAAGGGTAGTCTTGGGTTTTTTTTCTAAAACTTGACTTATAACACAAGTGATACATTAGAGATTCAATTAACAAATTAAAGATTAAAAATCTTTAATATACGATTTTACTTGTACTTCTTCCTTTTCTAAATAATTGTTTTAAACACTTATCTGAGACATCTCATCCAGCAGTATGACTTCCCCTCCAAGAACAGTCCCTCACATCTGAAAAGTCCAGTTAACGAGAGCACAATCAAACTGTAAAATAATCACCTTTTGATAACTTGATGGCAAATTAATTTTTGTTATGACAGACCAATCTTTGGAGGAGGATGGTTTTGGGATTTTGTTTTCTGCTAATAATGATTCCTCTTAGTTCATCATATTGATTTCTATTGCAAGTGCACGTGCCTCTTCTCCAGCGTGCATATACTCACACGTCTTCCAGTATTCAAGGCTCAACAGTCAGCAATCTTAACAAAATGCAACATTCACAAATTTCAAGACAGCCGACACGTTCAACAAAGAAATTACAGGCCATTACAAACCTCACTAACTTCTACTCCACCTGCAAGATGCTTCCTCAATACAGAGCTGCAGATAAATACCTTCAAAAATACATTGGAACAAATGCACTGCGCATACAATTTCACTTCCCAAAGGTGGGATTCAAAAAACAGATGTGGCAGACACCAATTTTGTTGAATACACTAGTCCAAGACACTCTTATACAATGATGAGAAGGATTGTAAAAGCATCTAAAGGGAAGAGACAAAATCAGTTACCCGTAATAAGGGCAAGAAATCTGTTTGGCAAATGAATTTCAAATGGTATTTCTTGGAGACTATCATCTAATTACTTGCCTGTACCATAAACAAAAAACATCAATTGCTTGCAGCCACATAACTTCAACAAGGAAAAATGCAATATTAAAAATGCCTTATATGAATTCATAGTCAAAGCCTTACTTTGCATCAGAATGTTATGTTTACGCTGTCTTTGAATCCAACAACCCATCAGAAACTTACTTTTGTATTACATTCTGTAAGCTGAGCATCATACCCAATTCACTTTTCATCTTTTCTCTGTTGGCACGGCACTCTGCCAAATAGCGGAGAGCCTAAAAGAAAGAGGACCACAGCACATCAGCAATATGTCCAGCACATTATCATTCACTTTAATTACTGTACATCTGCAAAATAGTCACAATGTGAGTTCTAGTAAAAAGAAAGAATATTATCACCTACTGTGAAATTAAAAGATTGTTTTATTCTTATAAATACACAGAAAGCACAGAATATGAGAAAAGGTTGAGAGACTGTCTACCGGCTAAGAGAGTCTAAGGGACAATCTAACTGCTGTCTACAACTACTCAAAAAGCCTTTACGAAGACAATTAAGCCAAACTTTCCTCTACAATAGCAGACAACGTAACAAGGGGGAGCAGCCACATATTGCAGCTTGAGAAGTTCAAACCAGGTATTACAAGAAGTTTTTTCACTAGGAAGGTAGTTCAACACTGGAACAGATGCCCTAGTGGGACTGCACATTCAATGAGACAAAGCTACAACTGACCTGATTGAGTGCTGGTGACAGTCCCAGTTCAAGCAAGAAGCTGAAGTGAATGACTTCCAGAAGTCCCTTCCAACAAACACTTTTTGTGATCTGAGATCTAAAGTAATTTTTATACACTATGCTTCTAGTATAACTTCCATTGATTCTGTAGGCTCCCCCGGTACCAGACAACTCACCACCACCAAGGTCTACTGCATTTTGAAGCTTCTGAAGACAAACTGCAGGATTAATGACTCCATGCAGGAATAAGAATACAAGCAGCAGTGAGCTGCTTAGGTTATTGTTACCTAAACTGGGAATTCACATTTATTTTTTGCCCAATGTTTTGTTTATTTGCCTTTCATGGTAGACTCTGCACAACTTCATATTGCTGACGCTAGTCAGCAACTGTGTATTTGTGTCACTCTTTCAGTAAAATGTCAGTCCTTTTCATGTGACAACTCTATCATTAGTGCTGACACACAAAGTTTTCTTAGACAGAACCTCCAAAGGTGTACAGGTGCTTTAATCAGTGTTCTATCGATGTAGGTACAAGCACTGCTCTTGCGAAATCCTGCAATACACAGATACAATGGTTTATAAAATTGGTTTAGAAATAGAAAGATTTAGAAGTGCACCAATTCTTTAAATATAGTCATATAATAGCTATGCAGCTCAATAGCAGTTTTAAAAATAACATGCTCCTTAATCCCTTCAGAAACAGAGTGCTGATTATCTGGGGTTTTTCCTAAATCACCCCCAGCACATATCCAGCAAGTTCAAGACCATTTTGTCACTTTTTGAGAAAGTCTGGCTGCTGTCTGGCACAATAAAAACTCTAACTATGATTTTTGCTATTTCCTGATGTGGATCAGTATCAATAATTGTTTATAAATGCAGTATATGCATTTATTTTCTTACTTTTCAACTATGGGGAAATACAAAAACGATAACTCTGAACTACTAACTTTTGCGTTAGGAAAAGTGTCCTTACTGGTGGACAGAGTTTCTCATTGTTATTAGTCTCTGCTCAGGCAATTGAATATAACGTTGTTGGACAAAGAAAAACATGTTCTCTTAACAGCTATTTGTGTCAAAATGAAGGCAGTCTCTTTTCCATCTGTTCAATACTCCTTACACACAAACGTAACTTCCACTAAAATAGGACCCAAGACAAAGTTACCAGAACAACTTAAGTAACCTGGCTTCTCAACACTAGGAGGTCTGATGCCACCTGCCTGCCACAGGAGATTCAAAGGTGCACACCTTCAAAGAAGTGAGATCATTTATGCTTATTAAACTGCAATCTACTGAAGACATAAGGAAGGTCACTATTATGGACTTTGGCTCAGCCTCTCTTCAGCAAAACACTTACCTACATTATCTTTAAGCTCACCAGTAATGTCCCCATACCTGAGTACAAAAATACATTGTTGTCAACCCCAATAACAAAAGACACCTCCTATGTTTTATAAGTATTAATGTAGCTTCTGAACTCTGGAGTCGTGTTTTTGAAATTATAGTCCAAATTTAAGGAAAAAAGAAAAAGGTAGTATTGCCTGGGTTACCTCTGATTTTATTACCTAAAACATTCAATTTTAACATTTGAAGCGTAAAGAATTCCTGGAATCAAAACTAGAGGAAACTATAGAAAAAAATACCACTTCTTGGTCAGACAGAAGAAAGAACTGAACTGAAACTGCTCATGGGGAGCAGTTTCCTGAAAGACTCTACAACACATCAAAAAAGTTAAATAGGGAACTACTATGATTCATACAGACTACTTAAAATTTCAGCTATGGGTATCGCAGAATAATACAACAACAAATTTAATGTCAGTGCTATACATCCTTCTATTAGGTACGAACTTAATGGCAACTCATTAAATTTAATAATTCCCATTCCAATGGAAGCATCTTTTTGACCAACGGGATGGCTAGAAAAGACAACCAAACAAAAAGACCTTTCAGAATGGAAAAACATCAAAAATGACTAAAAAGTTATCAGCAAAAGATATTAAAAGCTACAGAACCTAAGAGGTTCAAGAACTTACGAACACAAGGAATCTGAGTTGAAAACAAAACCATGTTTTTACAGTAAACTGATCCATTTCTGACTGCAGCCACCATTCTGGGATACAGCAGTCTCCTCTGAATCCTGCTTCTTACTGCACTCTAACTGTAGGTTATCACTAACTGGAACAACACAGCTGTCTCCCATGCCCACCCAACAAGATGCTGTTAAAACACAATCTGAGTAGTATCTGGGGCTGTGGAACAACACTGTAAATTCTATTAGCCCTCATCAATCTGACAAAGTCAGTCCTTTTTATGTAGAGTTCATTTCTGCAACATGATCACAGACCAATTACCGAATCTCCTTCAGGCAGCGAGAATATGCAGCACAAAGGAGCAAGGGAAGGAAAAAGAGAGTAAGACATCCAAGCAAGATCCTCTTTTAAGACCACAATCTAAGGAAATTGCACTGAAAAGAAAACCAATGCAACATATCCCCAAGAACTGTAAACTCAAAGTTCTTCCAGTGAAGAACGTTATACTGTGGCAAATGCTATGGCAAGGCTAACCTAAAAACCAATTGGCAGGACACAGGTATTCTGGATTACGGAACCACATTCCCTGAATCCAAGACATCCACTAACTTCCACCATGGAAGTAAAACAAATGAAAAACACAGTTATGGTACAGCTTAGTCTTAACGGTATAAAAAATAATGTAGAGTTGTATCTAAAAACCAGAGCTCTTTATTCACGTTGTTTAGAATTCAATAACAACAGAAAAATGGGGGGGGGGAAGAGAGAGCGCACCACAAATTTTAGTAATTTAAAATCTTGTTAGAGGAACTGATTTGGACTTTTAGCAGAATTGTAACTTTTGTTTGTCCTGTTTCTACGCAAGAAATATATTTTAAGTTCTTATTTAAATTCAGGCTGACAAATCTTTAGGGGGACTTTAGTATTTATGATTTGGAACAAGAAGAAATGGACAAGAGCTGGAACAAGTTGCAGTAGATATTAGCAGATTTTGGGTTGTTGTTTTTGCTTGCGGGGGGTGAGGGGAGGCAGACAGGATGTTTTTAACAGCATGATATTGGTCAAATGCTGGAACAGTGTGGCAGAGAGGTTATGGAATATCCATCCTTCAAGGCTTTCAAGAATCAAGCGGGCACAGCCATGAGCAGTGATCTGAGTACACTTAATGTGACCATGGGATTGGACTACACCACCTCTGGAGGTCGTTTCTAACCTAAATTACCCTATGATTTTTTTTTTTTTTAACAATACAAATGTTGAATCACTGCATATATTTACCAAGTCCCATGACTTCATGTTAACAGAGATTTAAGGGTGCTTACCTCTCTCCACACAAAAAGTTAAATAGCTATATTAGGGAAAAAATGCAAAATAAATTAATCTCTTCCAAAAAACAAATTCCCCTGGAGTAATGTGTCATTGCTAAACAACTTTTGAAATATGTGTTTTAAAAAAAACATGTACAATGAATACCAACATAAGATAACAACAAGGTTTTATTTTTACCTATTCAAAGACATATTAACAAAGTTACAAAACATCCTACTGACATAGGAATTTATGTCCAGAATACTTACTAGTAAAGCTGAATGAACTACTGGAGGGTTGGGATGGTCCAAAAACAGAATAAGACCTGGCAGACATCCTTGATCCTGAACAATGGCCCGTCTGTTCAATGGGTCAGCTGCTAGATCTCGGAGCTGATTAACTACTGATAGTGCATCAGGCTCCTCACTCATAGTAGAATTCATTTTTTCTGCACCATGCATACAAAATACCTGCTGGAAAAAAAAAGAAAAACACACCCAAAACTCTATTACTAATAACACAACATTTAACATGAATTAAAACACAAGTAAGACAAAAGCATAAAGGCACTGGTTTGTTACAGGTATAAAAACCCAAGGATTAAACTTCATGAAATTATGTGCATGGAATTGATAAGGATGTGGATCTTGAAACTGGTAAACTGGAAACTTAAACTTCCTATGCAAAGAACGCATAGGTTTGGTTAATAATATTTTGATTTGTCTCCTATATATAATTTCAGGCCAGTCAGCCTGTTTGTGTTGGTTTTTTGACACTAATGACAAATATTTCTGAGAAATCCATAGTTTTCCCACAACAAGGCACCCCAGAAATCTAACACATATTAAGTAAAATATACATTTTCAGAATACTTTTAGCAACAATTAAATTTTACACAAAAAATTAACAAGAAGAGTTATCAAAAGAGTAACACTGTATCAAGAACAGCAAACATTAAGTTTTAATCTGGTTCTATATAACAAATAACTAACATAATGCCATACTTATTGAAAGTTAAAAAGGGTTTTAAAGAGTGAGGTTTGGTGGGTTTTTGGTGTTTTGGGGTGTTGGGTTTTTTTTCCACTAGTACCCTCTCGATAAAAAGAAACAGGTCACACCTTGCTCCAGCTGAAATCCAAGCCACCATATCAGTTTCAAAGGACACGTGTTAGCTTGAGACTATCAGATTCCAGAGCTGTTTAATAAGGAATATTACTTAACAGGCAACAAACACATAAGTTTACTCAGAGAAAATGCTACAAGTGCAAAAAACTAGTTTTCTTTGAAAGTCTAATTACATGCCTCTGAAACTACTAAATGCCAACTATGGCCCTGGTGTTGCCAGTACCAACTCAAGCAAGTAACTTTTCTTCAGGCACAAAAGTTGAGTAAATAAGTACTGTTAATTTGTATTCCCTCATTTCCCCCCTGCATAAAAATTAAACAAATTAAAATTGTAAGTGGTCATATTCTTTTAACATTGTCTCTTAAGTAATACTGCACACACATTGTTTTCTCACTAAAGGTAGGCCTTTCTGCAAAGCAAATGAATCATTCTCATCAAAAACAACAAACCACAAATAGGCACTCTGTTTATGATAATTTCTGACATTTTCACATAGAAAAAAAAAAATCTGTTAATCTAAGTCACGGGTCTTTCCTTCAGCAAAGAAGAGTGCTAATGTGAAAAGTATGTGCCAGTGATTTGTCTCCAGGTTATAAGTCCAGAGGAGACCAACTGCAAGCTCAACCAATAAACAATAATTTTTATTTCCAAGCCACACAACTCTAAAAAAAAAAAAAATCTTGTGAACTGATATTATTTTTCACAGCTGGCAAACACAAGTCACAATTTAGGAATTAAGTCAGTTGTGCAGCTGATGCTGACGAAGTCTCCGACTTCCAGTTCGGCGTCCTAAGCACCAGCACATTCCTACAACTCTCTCCATCCTGACCGCCTTTGGCCTTTTTCCTTCTAATTTCCTAAAAAAGCACGAAGCCGAGTTTTACCCCATTCCTATCTCATTAGGCCACACTCATGGCCTCTCCAGAACATCTCCCTTTCTCCTCAGCCACAACTGAGGAGACAACTGAAGTCCTCACCTTCTCCATCACCTACAACAACCAATGTTATAAGAACTACGACACTCGGCATTTTTTTATTAAAAAAATCCCAATGTTTCAAAATGTTTAAGTTACCTAGAATCTGGGGGCCTAGCAGAGAAGTTAGCCAGGTACCGGCTCTCTTCTTCTCCTCGTAGCTTTGAGATGAAAGCTTAACAAAGACACCACAGATCTCTCTGTCGGTCGCCCTTTCTGCTCTGTGCCCCGCCACAGGTTCATACCTCCACTCTCACGCTGAGCGTTCCCTAAGCGACGGAGCTGACAGTCCGGCTGCGACAAGGCCCCGGGCCTCAGCTCCCGGAACCCCGTCCGGCGGAGGCACAACCCTCCAGCAACTGGCCGACAGGAGCTCCGGGACGCTGTTAGGGGGAGCAGGAGGCTCCTCAGCCGGCCTCGCCGCCCCACTCTCACGGCCATCCCGCCCTTCCCCGGCATGCCCCGTTCCCGCTGCCCAGCGCGGCCTGTTCCCC